TGACCGTAGCACTGCAGTCACGCGTTGTGCGGATGAAAATAGCGCAAAACTTGTCTCCTGTAAAAATATCCAAGAGAATAATTTTCTGAGAAGTTTAGTGTAAGTTGACATGCTTCCATAAATTAGAATTCATAAAAATCAATACATCATGTACTTATATCATATTGAAATTAAAAATGGCCGTGCTTTGAATTAATTTGCAGACAAGATGGCGTCGATATTTGGATTGGTCTTGAAAATGGGACTTGGCCAGATGGAGAAAAAGTGCAGTGGACTAATTATATAAAGAGTAAATTTGTTATATAATTATTTTAGTTCTTTGACTCTACTGTAACATTAAATTTCTCTTAGACTGATTTTTATTCATGATGAAAGATCTAAATTTAATGTCATTTAGTAGTATGAAGAATTATTGGTTAGGTACTTCAACAAGCTGTGCCTTCATGCCTGATAGAGACGGAAAATGGCGAGGAATATCTTGTGACTCCGCATTCTATATATCCTTTGTTTGCACCTATTCAGCATCAGGTACATTTTTATGTTTCAAGTTACGTGTAGTTGATTGTTGTGATTGTTATCCAAAACGATATCATTAGAATATAAATCTCAAATGTCAAAAATTAATGCTAAATTCAATTGAAAGGAAAACATCATTGAACATTTAAGCTGAAAGATTTTTTGAGAAATCGAACTTCTTATCGGAAAGAGTCAGGTAAAGACTAATATTTTGCACTATGTATCAACAATATTGCAAAATACATGGATTTGTCTTGAATAGTTAGAAAAATATGTGAAGATACCACGCCAAATTGCAACAAATACCTTGAATTGGATCCAAAAGCATGTGAAAATGATGAGTTCGTGTGGCATACCTGTCCGAAAACGTGTGGATACTGCGATAATGTACAAGGTTTGGAAACGTGAAATATCAATTATTTTTCTCCTGTCCTACTGTATTTGGTGATTTTTTTTAATGAAATAGACGGTCTTAAGTGTTGTCTGCTTCAAATGAACATAAGATATTTTTTTTCTCCGAAAATGAAGACAACTGTGTTATACCAAGGGTGACTACTGAGAGCAATGCGGAAATTGTCACAACTGCTGGCACTCTTGGAATAGGAGACTTGTTGGAATACAGATGTAAATCCGGATTCTCTCACACTGACGGAAGTCTCCACAGAGCATGTCAAAGAAGTGGGACATTTTCCGGTTCACCACCAGTGTGCCAAAGTGAGATATTTTAACAATACATGTAACCTTCTCCTTCATTTGTCTTGTCTGACCAAGGACAAAGAAATGTCAATTTAAATCTTGCAAAAGGGGTTATTGTAATATTACAGGTTCTAGTACCGTCCCTGAGCCTAACAATGATGCTCCTTTGCTACAGTTACGTAAAAATCATTACACACGATACTCCTACACGGGCCTAAATGAAAACATGAGCATCAAAAAGAGCGGGAAGATTGTCAAATGGCGGTTTTTTACTGAGACGAAGGGAACTTTCAGACTGCAAGTCTTGAGGCCAACCTCAGTAGATAAAACGTTTGTATATCCTAGTTAAAAGCTTGTACTTTAGGGCAAAATCAGGCAGGTTCTCTCTTTTTTATTGATTTTATTTGGAAGAGGGGATGCTTAATACCTCTATGCAAGTAAGGGCCTCATGTGTTTGACATGTTCGTGATACATTTTTTAAAAAATTTGATTGATGAGTAAAAAAATAATTAAGTGGGAATACAAAAACATTGTTTTAGTTTGACATGGGGGAGTTCGGGGGAAGAGGCTAGGGGAGAGTGGTGAGGAATGCGCACTTCAAATTCGCTGACTTCAACCATTCTTTTACAATAACAAGATTTTCTAAATTATTTTGATTAGAAAACTTTTATATCTTTTGAAATTAGAATAGACTTAGCGTATGATTTGTTCATGTTTACAGTTCTCTCTTACTGTATTAATATAGATTCACTCTGATTGGTCAAAACGAAGTATCGGGAACCTATGTCGGTGGAATTAATACATACGAAGTTCCGCTGGAGGACCAAATTGAGGTGAAGCCAGGGGACCTGATAGCCATTTTCGCCGTCACTGGAGTCATTCCCTATGATACATGTGACGGGGCAGTGGAAGGGGAAACATACGGGTCACCTCTCATGTCGATGAAGAAAGTTTATTCCTTGTCTGGATGGGATATTTCGACCGATTACACATTCAAGGAAGTAACAGACACATGTAGAATTGTCCCCGTCACTGCTTTCATCCAATAGATAAACTTAATAATGTACATATATAAGATAAACACAGTCAATATTTTTCTGTTTTGTTTTTAAGTGGTTTTCTCTCCTCATCAATTGAATCTTCCAGTATTTCATAGGGAACGATTTTCCTTATTTAAAATTTATTCAAATCTTTTCATGGTAAACAATTTGAATACTAATATTTTTTTGTACATTAAATTAATTAATTATTTATATAAATAACATTTTTCCTTTGAATGAAATGTAGAGTAAAATGCAATTCATTAAACTTTGCTTAAAAATAGGCTACTGGGCGTTTAATTTTGTTTTTGAATACAGGTCTCATTCCGAGCTCGAGTCTTTCAAATAGGTACCGAGTGTTCCTTCGTTAAGCATTTTATTCTATTGGATGTTACTTAAAAAAACCACGTATCTAAGGAGGCTTCAGTACGTTTCAGAACCTGTTAGAGCAATGCATAAATCAAGAGCTGTGGCACTTCACCAAAAGCAAGTTAAATTTTTTCATGAATGGAAAATTGTGAGGGTTTTGGAGATCGAAAAAAGGCTAAAAATATCATTTCTGCATTGAATTGATGTCAATGAAATCAGGATCCAAAATTAAACAAATAAGTGGAACGAAGGTTTTAGATAAAATCCTATTTTGTATTGTTTTGTGAACCTTTGTTCTTGAATACTGTTCGTTATCTCTAAATGTTTCGTTCCAGAATACGAATCGCCACTGATCTTTTCAAGGAAAAATACCTCGCTCCCCTTAAAACAATCTATTTTCCGTAGGATTTTAAGAATTTTTGTTTAGAACATTTTATATAGCATTTAAATAATCGAAGAGAATTTTTCTCAATTATTTGTTATGATAAACGTTAGCCATAGGAAAATCAACAATGAATGAATTATAAACAGTCTTCATTCATGATTGCTTCTTTTATCGCGTTTATTCAAAGGTGAACGTATTATATCATTCCACTGAACGTCATTGAAGAAAAATAAAATTACACAAAATAAAAATTAATTAACCATACACACTTACATATTTTTCAGAGATGCGAAATGTCAAGTACATATAGGGCAACACATACAAGGTGGCGAGATGCAGGTAGTTTAATTTAATTTGGGCAATTCAACCTTAATAATGTCCAGCGAAAAATATTTGAGCGAGCAAAAAAACCAAACTTTTTACCTCAGCGAAAAATAAATTGCTTCTTCAATGTTATAACATTTAAATTTTAGTCTGAGAGAAAATGTCTTTATTTTCTCTTTGATAAATTTGTTGTTTCAAAAAACACAGCTTTTATACACTGTTGTTGTATCTCTTATTGACTTTTTACTTTTTTTAATTTTCAAAGTTTAAGATCACCGAATTTCCGTTTTCCATTATATTCTATGATTATCTATGTGTTATAATGTTTCACATGCATAGATCGGGGGGGGGGGGGGGGGGGCAATTAAAATTTGTACAGTCATACGTTAAATAAACTAAACGAACTACCGGTATAACTGACCTTGGACCGTCCACTTAGAAAACGCCGATCAAACATTCATATTTCTTTGTACAAATGAAATATGTTTTACATGCATAGATCTAGAGAAAGGGGTCCGAAACACCCCTCTGAATTTGTAAAGTTATTTAATGCACAAACTAAACCAATTAAAAGTTATTTAATGTATAGAATAAATCAACTATAGGGGACCTTAGAACCCCCCTCCCTTCCCCAACCAAAAATGTGGATTCGTGTTAAGGTGGTATGAAAAATGTCATACACATGAAGGTATGACGCATAAGAACCCCCTCTCCCTGGCCGAAATAAATTTTTACATTTAGGAAAGGACTTCACGTATTTTTTTCTTGTCAAGAAATTTCTGGATTATGGATCCGCGCCTTTTTTTTAAATTTACATAAATATCAATATAAAAATAAAATTTATTCAAATATGTGTGGCAGTTGGCAGTAAGCAGCTGACAGTTGGCAGCAAGCAGTCAGCAGTTGGCAGTAAGCAGTTGGCTGTCGTATATGGCATTCCATATTTTTCTCATAAATTACAATGAAGAACCAAATTTTAGTCTCGTTTTCCCCAGACTCTCGCTCTCGAGACTTTGCCCGAGCGAGAGTCTGGTCTGATTCCTATTTAATTTTTGTAATTTCAAATCGAGGCTTACCGAGAAATCGGTATGGATTTTCATTGGCTGACACATTCTCTTCGAATCTAAGATCTGTATTCTTTAAAAAGTCAGAGGCTGCGCCTTTACTTTTACCTGGTTTTATAATAAAATACCTCTGTCTGCTTTACAAGGAACAAAAAACGCACATATCTTTGTTTAAAAAGTAAATTCTCATATGTATTTTCATTGGAATCGCCATCTTGTTAGCCGATTTAGCGACCTCTACTGGTTACAAAAATTAAATAGGAATCAGACCAGACTCTCGCTCGGGCAAAGTCTCGAGAGCGAGAGTCTGGGGAAAACGAGACTAACCAAATTTAGGAAATATTTCTAAATTTACGGTAAAAACCGATCCCGATCGAAAAAAATGCAATATTAATAAATTTATTAATCTAAAGACACCTATCAATTATAAGTCGTGTAAAAAATAAATCAAGTCATCTTTTAATCATATTACAACCAAAGAGCCTAATTTAACATTACAATTAAAAAAATTTTTATATATACTTCCGGTCGGGATCGGTTTTATTTGGGAAATTATGAAAAAATAGTTAATTTTGACTCCTTTTATTTCTTTCAATATACCTGTTCCCACTGATTTTATTGAGTGACTCAAAAGTTTGTACTTTGTTTTCATAATAACATCAGAAATAAATAAATTTAATTCTGTCCTTGTAAAGTATTGGGTTTTATAACGTAATGAAAATTGGATACTAAATTCAAAAAGTCATCTGATAAACTCAAATTTGGACCATAAATTTTTTTGTAAAGAAATATAAATTTGAGTCTTATTCATTAATAAAATAAAAGATAAGAGTCTATGCTATAAATAGTATTCACCGACACATCCAGCTTTTGAGTTATTTGTTACATATAAAACAAAATAAAAACGTAGTAATTTTTTTACCCTCATGTTGACCTTTCTGCACTTAAAATTAAGCATTTACCAAAAATAGGACTAGAGGAGCACTAAAAAAATTTTTGATGTTGTCATGTTTAAACACTTGCTAAAATAAGTCTACATGCAAAAAATAATTAAAATCCATGACATGCGATGTGCCACCCATTGCCTGGTTTTTCGGTGGACTGCCCCTTAAATGCATTAAATAGACAGGAGTCTAATTTAATCAAAAATTGATTTTTTAAATATATACATCTTAATAAAGCATGTATGAGAAGCTTGTACGGTTTTTAGAAATTAAGAAATACAGGTAAACTTCGGTATCTCGACATCGGATATGTCGACAACCTGGGATATGTCGACGTCCGTCCGCGGTCCCGGCATTATTTACTATATAAATGATTTGCAAAAACTCTGATATGTCGACCTCGGTAATGTCGACTACCCCGCTTATCTCGACGTATTTCACAGTCCCAAGAGCAAAATTTACCTGGTATATGTCGACATCGGGGCAATTTTCTGCTCTACTTAACCTAATTGTTTGTCAGCTGGTCGCTCGTCGCGCACGGGCGACTCCGTGTATCTCGACGTCGCAAGAAATTCACACCTTTCACACCCATGTTTTGACTACATACTGCTCTGTAAAAATGTGTTTGTAGAGGAATCCCAAGCCCCCTAGGCGTCTCTAATACGTTAATTGTTTAATGTTTAGCTTGGGTAATATCATTGATAAATCTCGATTCTGCGTAAAAGTAAAATCGTTTATTTATGTCGAAATCTAACAAAACTTAAACATTTTATATAAAAAAGGAACTAAATAACAATTAACAATATACACATTGAATTCAATTTAACTTAAAAACTGTGGTATAAATGCATTCAACAGGAATCAATCAAATCTACGACATGAACGACTATTGCATCACAGTCGTAATATGGATGCATATGTAACATCATTAAGTTTGTTAAATGCGCAATTCCAATTAAATTTAGGTTTGAAAATGAAATGAAAATTAATGATGAATGATTATGAAATAAAAAAGAAGTGAAATGAAATTATTTTAAAAAATATACGCATTCATTTTTTTCCGTATCTCGGAAGTCGACTTTGTATCGTCCCGGTTTAGAGTTTATAGAGCGCATTTCGTATCCTGTTCTGACAGAGCTAGTGGCACGCGGATCGAATGCTGGATGGAAAACGGTTTTTATAAAAAGAGATAAAAAAGAAAGCATTTCATAAAAACATTCGTGAAAAACATTAGATTTTTTAAATAAATATAGGGGGATAGCTGAAACAAATGAGCTACAGTCTAATTGAAGACATGCAGGTACCTGTAGTTATACATCTGTTCAGTTTAGGTCTCTGGTTTTACTATGCAGTAAAATTAAGGACGTCGAGTCTCAACTCTGATATCTCGACACCTCGGATATCTCGACATTTTCCGACTGTCCCGTCGATGTCGAGATAACGAAGTTTACCTGTATTAAATGACCATGAATTATATCAATGCACAGGCCATAACACGTTGTATAAAGAATCGGAAAATAAACTTCTTTTGAATTCCTGTCATTTTGTTTTATTTGTATAGTTTTACTCAACTATGGAAAATGTCCCAAAAATATTCGATGAATTGTGCATTTTTTTTTATTTTATAAAAAATATACATAAATATACATGTTTATATGGAATATCTGAGCTAAAATATAAAAAGGGATTACGTGAAAATATAATATATATTATTGCATAATTAAATATAAATGTGATTTATGTTCAAATTTAAATTCTCACCAATTTTAAACATGTAAAACAATGCATTTCTAGAGTTTAATTGACTTTATTTTTTTATGTTTTCTAAACGTTAATTAGGTAGAAAAATAAATGGATTATTGTTAAAAAATTCTTGATATCTTAACTTTGAAATGTGCATGATTATGAAATTTACGAAAAGCCAAATCTTTA